TCCTGATGTGTCTCCTCCCATCACTCCTCCCAGCCCTCCTACTGCTCCTGCTTGCTTCCCTTCTGCCCCCCACCCCAACCTCCCTCTCAGGGGCTACCGCAAAGGTTTCCCAAGTTCTACAGGCCATCCGATCCGGCAGGCGCACCTGCCCTGGCTGGGGTGGGAGAGCAGGGAGCCCTTCCCTCTGGCCAGGGCTGTCTTGCTATTCAACCCTTCGGAGTCAGCGCTCTTTGCAAAGGGCTGGCTGAGCGGTTCTTCCCTCTGATTGGCTGCTTCCAAACATCCCCGCACGTGGTCAAGGCTGCTCTATTTTATTTGTGTCAACTAGGGGCCAAAAGCTATCCTGTGCTCTGTCATTGACGGGAAGTTCCATGGGGGTCATTTGGCAGGTACGGGTGCATGCGTTAAGGTGCGTCTGCCTTGAGCAGGGCGGTGGACCTGACAGGGGACAGGTGTTGTGGGTGCTCCCTTAGCACTTTCTCCCAAACGCCAGTACTCCAGAGCCTTCCATGACCCAACCCAACCCCAATGTCAGTGAGCACCAGAAGTCTTGTTCCTTAGCATAAAGTAAGGCCTTTGGAATGAGTTCCCACACCGGCGCTGTGGTACAGCGGGTTAAGCTGCCGCCTGCAGTGCCGGCATCCCATATGAGCATCAGTTCGAGTCCCAGCGGCTCCACTTCCGATCCAGCTCCCTGCTAATGCACCTGGGAAAGCAGCAGCAGATGGCCCAAGTGCTATTTCTACCACCCACATGGGAGACCTGGATGGAGTTCCAGGTTCCTGGCTTCGGCCTGGCTAAAGCAGCCATTTGGGGAGTAACTCAGCGGATGGAAGACCTCCTTCACTCTGTCCGTCTCCCTTTCTTTGAGTCTTCCTCTCTATGTTGCTGCCTTTTTGATAGATAAATAAATCCTTTAACACACACACACACACACACAAGGGCCTTAGAAATGAGTTGCAAGTGGTGAGACGAACGGCATTGGGAGGGGTGGACTGGCTAAGAAAAACAGCGCCAATCCAGTGCCCTGTAGGACAATGCGGCACGTTGTGTGGTTCGCCCTGGTGACATGGCACGCTGGGCTTGGTTCCTGCGTGCATCCAGCCACGGCTTTGGTGGATTTGGCGTTCCTCCCGTGCCAGGAGAAGGTGAGAGAATCCAGCTGCAAACTTGCCTGCCAGGTGCTGTGGGGGTTCTCAGAAGGCACACAGCCCATGAAGCCCGGCTTCGTGCAGTTTGCCCCAGGCCGGCCCTGTGGACTTCCTTTCACGATGACCTGGACGCCTGGTGTAGGGGAAGTGGTGCATGCCCCACTCACCTCTTTTTTTAAAAAAAGATTTATTTATTTATTTGATAGACAGAGTTATAGAGAGAGGTAGAGACAGAGAGAGAGAGAGGTCTTCCATCCGCTGGTTCACTCCCCAGATGGCCTCAACGGCCGGAGCTGAGCCGATCCGAAGCCAGGAGCCAGGAGCTTCTTCCAGATCTCCCACACGGGTGCAGGGGCCCAAGGACTTGGGCCATCTTCTACTGCTTTCCCAGGCCACAGCAGAGAGCTGGATTAGAAGAGGAGCAGCCGGGACTAGAACAGGCATGCATATGGGATGCTGGCGCTTCAGGCCAGAGCTTTAACCTGTGCCACAGCACCGGCCCCCTCACTCACCTCTAATTCCAGTAGGGTCAGGGGCCCACCGGAAAGCACCCAATGGTTTGGCATGAGCAAATCGGCTGAGGTCAATTTGCAACAGCTGAAAACCCCACCCTGCCCAGCCCCAGCACCACTGGGGGCCTCCCTGTTTTCTCACGGTCATGGTAGGAAACTAACACACCGTCCCATGTCGCCACAAACTGCAAGGACTGTGCTTCTACAACACAGTGGGACCACAGATTGGAGGTTGGTGCCTTGAGGAGGAGGAGGGAGATAAAAATAAAAATCAGCTGTGAGAAGTGCCCGCGGGTTCTATCGTACTTGTCAATGTCACCATAAGGAAGTGTTTATTAAGGGCTGGTGTGCATGGGGCAACGGCACAGGCATGACACTGGGCAAACTGCACGGGCGTGGCTCCTTGAGTCTCCATGTTGACAGTTCAGGCTGGACGACACTGTGGCCAAGCTACGTGAGGAGCAGTCACCAACCACACACACATCCTGCACGCAATCAACACAAAACACGTAACCAGGAAGTAATATGACACACATCCATCTCACGACTCAGAACGCTGCTTGCCTACCC